AGTTGCAACATTGGACTTTTTGCACTATTCGCATATTCTACTTTGACTACATTTTATTAATTGATGTATTATAAATTAAATTTTAAATTTTTTTTTTTACATTCTTCTCATTCTAAATTTTCAAAATATGATTTTTTTTAAATTTTTTACTAATACGGAATGAAAGATATTAATGGTCAAACTTGTGCATTGGCAAACGTGAAATGTTGACTGTTGCAATTAAAAAGGAACGGAGGAAGTATATGGCTTTGATAAGAGTTTAATTTGATCCGTTAATTAATTAAGTTCCAATTTAGGCAATTAAGTGGGTGGAAAGGAAAGATACAATTCCTTTCAAGTATGATTCCTTTCTTTCTTTACGTCGCGTCCAAGACACAAACGTCGTACGTAACGGTAGACCAGTCGATCTCTACTAGCCGGCCACCTCATTATTTAACGTACGTACACTACCGGTATGATGGATTAATAATTAATTACTAAGAATTGAAAGAAAACATATAAGTATATATAACAGAGGTCGGTAGCAGATCAGTGATCAAATTTAAAGTACGTAGTCTACGTACTATACGTACATGTTTGATTGGATCATCCGGCCGGCCTGTCTAGCTATACTAACTATATACGTACGTACGTAGTATACCTATATTGATCGATCGATGGCGGCGAAGCAGCGGCGGTACGGTGGCCTGGCGACGATCCTGTGGGTGTGGTGGTGGGTGGTGGTGGAGGGCATGCCGCCAGAGAACCCCCTGGAGTGCAACGCGTCGGGGTGCTGGATCCGCAATGCGTACGGGGTTTGGGGTGACTGATAGAGTTGTATTTTTATTATGTATTATTTCTATTTTAACTAGTTTTATTTGTTGTTGTTTGGAAAATTACACACTTTTGGTGTAATTAGTTAATTTTCTTAGATAGATGTAATTTATTTAGATTAGGATTATTCTGAGCATAAAACAGGTCAAGATCATCCAAAGGATCAAGTTTGGACCCCAAAAGATCAAGGAAAGTGCAAGGGGACAAGATAAAAAGAAGATTGAAAAAATATTTCATATACCCGGTCGGGTATAGGCAATACCCGATCGGGTATTGAGTTGATTCGGGTGTCAAAATCAGAATCTGGAGAGACAAAAGAACGTGCAGGATTTTGACTTTTTGGCTCATACCCTACCGGGTATGCCTACATACCCGACCGGGTATGTCTAGAAAAGTGATTTTCCGGAAAACTGCCTAAAATACCCGATCGGGTACCCTATATACCCGATCGGGTACACAACCCTGCCACCTCCAAACACCTATAAATACACTAGACCTGCACAAAAGCGGGTTCGGGCCGGGCTCGGGCCGGGCTTTTCATATGTTTTCTGCCCATCATGTGTAGGCGGGCCCGGCCCGGCCCGCAAAAAACGGGCCTAACCCCATGTCCGTACCCGCCCGTAAGAGCGGGCCGGGTAGTCCACCGGGCCGCCGGGCCCGGGAAGACTTTAAATTTTTCAAAATTATATAATTTATCTAATACTTTATAAATAATATTACAACATTTAAAAAATTGCTAATACGCTTATAATGTATATATGTCTTTCATCACATACACAAAAAATATTTACACAAAAATAATAATGACAAATTATATCTAAAATTTCAAATTCATGCACAAAGTATTATCGTTAAGTACAAAAATAGATATTATATTGGTTGGACTATTTGTTAAGAACTAAAAACTTAAATTTAAACATAATAAACTATAAATATGTATATAGATAAATTAGTAAATATAAAAATATACATGTGTACATGTAACTAAATACATAAATTAGTATATATAAAAATATACATGTGTACATGTAACTAAATACATAAATTAGTATATATAAAAATATATATGTATATATACTAAATGTAGCGGGCCGGGCTTATCGGCCCGAACGGGCCTACACCCTAACCCAAGCCCGCCCATATGTTGTTGCGGGCCGGGCCCGGGCCGGGCCGGGCCGGTGGGTAAATATATATGCCCAAGCCCGCTAATTTGTGCGGGCGGGCCGGGCGGGCCGGGCGGCCCGGCCCGGTTTTGTACAGGTCTAAAATACACCCCTTTTCCTCCACAATAAAAGCATTCCTTCTTCCATACTCTTAAGCTCAGTTTAGAATAGTATTTCTTTTATATTTTTATAGCATGTTTAGTCTCCAAATGAGGAGCTAAACTTCCATTTCTTGGCGTTGCTCTTGAAACTTGTTGATTATTAAAGTTGTGAGTTATTTTCTTAACTTCTTTCCTTGAATATTAATTCTTCCTTTAAATACTATTTCTATATCAATGTTAGGGAGTGTTACTAAGATGACAATTAGTTAACATCTTGATGTTAACTATAGTAGGATTCATTTTCTTTAATATTCTTCCTTGAGTATTAATTAATTCCTATTCATATTTCATATTAATATTTTGAACATTACTTAAAGGATCAACTAGTTTTGTTTCATATATTAATTATTACTAGAAACGATCAACGAACCGATGGTTAATCGTTGATAGTTTCACAAGTAAGTAACTTCGGTTTATTAATGCACGGTCGTGGTTAATAAACTTAAGAGGGATTAATTTTGTTGGTTAAACCGAAACCGTTGTGTTGAGGTTATCAATCTCAATTGATTTCATCAAGGAGTTAAGAGATTAAATGCTACTATCAAGTCGGTATATGGCGTTGTTCTATACTTGACTAATAGTAAGGGTTATTAATGAACGGTCGTTGTTAATAACTAACCTCGATGAATTGGATATACTCCTCGATTGAGTATTCGAGAGGAGATAAGTTATAGATATAACAATGATCGACTAAAATATATCAACAAGTGGAAAGTAGCAATGTCAAGTCCTTTTTATCTTTGAATTAAATCACATATAACTCGTTCATCTTCGTGTTTAAATTTAATTAAATCACTCAATCCCAAAACCCCTCTTATTTACTAGTTTTACTAAAAAGAGAATTATTCCTTTCCCTGTGGATACGAACTCTACTACGCTATACTACGGTATTAGCCCTTAGTAGTGAATTTATTTTGAGTGCACACACGACAAAGTGCACGTCAGTGACAGAAAGGATGAGTGCCTATCGGCGAGAGCGGTGTTCCCGGAGACGGAGGAGGAGCTGCGGGTGGCGGTGGCGGATGCCAACAAGAATAGGGAGAACATAAAGGTGGTCACCAACTTTTCACATACTATCCCTAAGTGGGCATGCCCCACCGCATCTGGGCCGCCTACCCTCTTCATTAGCACCCAAAGGTATGTCATAATTAACCATGCATATATGCCCACCCCGACCTAACAACTAATTCAAAACCACCACTTCCAGTGTAGCTGGATGTGAGGTTACCCATGCATAGCATCATAGGAGAGGTCTCGTGTTCGAGTCTCACTAGCACCAGTGGAACTATGCTCCCCTAAAAAATCCTTCAAGTGGCAAGACCAAGCGGTGTATACTAACCCATAGAGCCAAGCTAAAGTTGGGTTTCTGGGGTAAGGGGGCGTGAAAGCGGTGGAGCTAGTCACTATAAAAAATTTACCCATACCTTAGTTTGCTGGTGGGCGTAGCTCAACTGGTAGCGAGGGAGTGCCGCAAGGGTTAGGTCCCAGATTCGAATCCCGGCAACTGCGATGAAAGGTTACTATGCTAAAAATGCATAGGGCCCCTGCAGGTACCGGGGATGGAGCGCCACTCTCTATCTGTCAGATTGTGATTATAGTCCAATTTATATCTTCCCATCGTACTATTTGATCGGTGTTGGGGGCACTCAGGGATGGGGTGTGATCCTTTTTTAACTACTAGTAATTCAAAACAAACTACGTGGCTACGTACGTACTATTGCATTTCGTTACCTACCTACCTTGCTTGTTTCATACCCAATACCCCATTTATACGCAACTTACGTTATTATTTTTTCTGATCGTAACTTACGTTATTATTATAAAGCTATCTATCTATTACCGGTAAAAACGTTAGGAATATTTTAAAATACCATTTCTCTTTAATTTATTCTCCTTTATGCTGAGTAAATTAGGCAATCTTCCTATTATGCCCCTATCTCTCCCAACCGTACATCTTTACTTCCTGAATTCTAGATTGACTTTTCTCTCCTCCCTCTTCCCTCTCTCCTCTCCCATCTCCCCTCTCACAAGTCACAACTAACATCCATAAATCGAGATCTCATACTTCCATTTTCTTCTCTTGTATGTCTTCTACTACCTCCGTTTGGGACAAAAATGTGTGGTGTGATTTTGAATAAAAAGTGGAATTGTGTGGTTGATATTGAATTATTGATAAAGTGTGAATATGTTAAAAATAAATTATAGCCATTCAAATATTACAATATATGATATGAAACAAACTTTATGAGACCGATGAAAAAAGTAAAGCGGGACAAGGTTAGGCGGACGGAAGGAATATAATAACTTCAAATTTTATACTACTGATCTCGATTTCCTTCATTTTGGGTGATTTTAAGAGATATGTACCATGAATCACTAAAATGATTTTCGAGAATGTTTCGATATTCTCTTATTATTTTGCTCTTTTAGCATTAGTAAACGTTCAACATAAATATAAAGCAGCCAATGCAACTAAAATCAAATAAAATTAGCGTAGAGAAATAATGAAAGTATGAACTGGAACTGGAACTAAGTATACTGGATCAAATAAAATTGAATCAATTAAATAAAATCCAATAAAATCAATTAAATGAAAGCGTATACTGGATCGGAATTAAGTATATGACATCAAAGCTACTAAAATTAAAATAATGAAGAAATCCAAAAACTTAAAACTGGAACTAAAATGAATGCAGAACATGTTTTAGATTTCATTTTACTAACAATTGTTAGGTTTGTTTTCATTTATTAGCATTTAAATGGGGAGTTATGTACTAAATAGATAAGTATATCAATGATAGAATGATATATTCCACATAAACATAAAGCAACCTATTAAAAATCAAATCAATTGATCGATCAAGAGAAACAGTAAAGGTTCATATCAAATTAAATGAGAGTATAATTAACTTGCGAAAATATCAACCATCTCTGAGGTCAATCTTGATGTTGATTTGTTGAGCATCAATCTTGATATGAATGAACAAATTGAGAAATTGGAAATTTATAATCTTTAAAATTAAAGAATCTATCAATCTTGGATTGGAAATTGACTAAATTTAAATTCTCACCTGCGGACGTAAATGAGGGGCTTTGAGATATTTAATTTAGAGAGTACGTTCACATAGGATAATCTCTAAATAAGTGAAGCACACCGATATGCAAAATATGGCCGAAGCAGATATTTTAGTGCCAAGTTATTATTATCATTTAAAAGATAAAAAACATTAGTCTGACATTTCTATGGATGTCAACGATGAAAAATTAAAACAAAAACAAAAATACCATAAAGCACCTGCCATAAGAAAAGTCAGTAATTAAGGAGTGACACTAATATTCAAGAGTTAAGACATGCCAATAATTAAGGAGTGACAATAATATAGCTGTTCTACCCCTTTTCAGCTTCTTGTACCTTTTTTCCTGACCTTGGACTATTTTAGTGTTGGGACATGCCAAGAATAAGTACGTACGTGATTGTTTCTTATAATTAATGGATGATATGACTCGGCCGTATGTATTATTATTAATTTTCATATACTTGGCGTGCATGTGTAATATATATATGAACAATATATGACTCGGCCGTATGTAACATACATGCATGGTGGATGATAATAGTGTATTATTAATTAGCATTAATTAGCTTTCCATATTTCATTAGTTTCCTATTGTAATTTGGATACTTCTTTATTATATACTTCCTCCGTAACATTCATATCTTCCCACTTTCCTTTTTTGGACGTAACATTTATATCTTCCCATTTCTAAATCTTCCCATCATACCCTCAATAATTTAAAAAATAACACACTATTACACCTACTTTTTTTGGATTTATCCTTCATTCCATCACATTATTTCACCATCTTCCCATCATACCCTCAATAATTCATACATCATTTCACTATTCTTAATCTCACCCACTTTGGAAGTGGAAAGATATATGTGATACGGAGGGAGTATATGACATCCAGGGCTACCACATTGGTAAGCCATTCTATTATTCTCACATGGTATCAAGAGCTTTAGGATTTTAACCTAATTTTTTTTTCCGGCCCTATGACTACCGAAGGAACCGCAGCCGCCAGCTCCTCCACCGCCACCGCCGCCACCTCTACGACGATGATGTAATCACCTGTGCTGAGCGCGGTCTCCATGCCGGTTTCTACACCGGTGAATGATCCTTTTTCCTCCACCACTCTGGCGTCGTTCTCCATCTCAACCGAGCAGCCGAGTTCGGTGTTTACCACGGCAATTTCATCATCTGCGCCGCCGTCTTCATGGGTCCCGCCTATCTTTGCGTGGACGCCAACGGTTCCGAGCTTGCAGTCCATGCCGCAGCAGTCTTCATTCGTCGTCGGGGAATCCAGCAGCACCGCCGGCCGTCGTTTCGCCGGCCTCACCTTCTCGGGCAGTCCGGGACTGCTACTGTCACGCCCCGGACCTATCCGGACACGTCAACAACCCGCCGTACAATACGAAAAGTCAACCGCAGTCCAACACATTCATATTATACAAGGCGTCTTGAATATCATTCACACATATACATCCATAAACAAACATAATAAGTAATTCGTAACGCAGCGGAAAACATTGTTTAAAACGAAAGGGCCACACAAGGCTATTCATGAGCACGCAGGCTCTACAGTAAAATATCCATGAGCATGTTTATTAATGTTTAAAAACAGAATGGAGGAAGCACGAACCAAGTCTTCCCTCCTATATGATCTCTCGAGCAACGAGCACAGGAAGCAAGCTCTAGCCTCAACCTGAAAAATGGTGGTGGGACGCCCCCGAAGGGGTCAGCACTCTATAGGGCTATAAAGTGCTGGTGTGGCAGGCATCTAATAGATATACAACAAGTATTTCACACACAAGACCCTCAAATAGGGTGATAATATAGTATAGGCCGTAATCCCAGATTACCCCTTTCAAAATACATACTTACTTTATATAAAGTCAAGTAGTCGGCTCAAAGGCCCGTGTTTGTTATAAAACATTTCCCAAACCCCGTGACTAATAGTCACGACAATACATAGGGTCCAACCCTAATATAACTTCTCATTTCTAGAGTTAGGCTCGAGTACATCATCATGCACTCGCATCATAGATCTCCTACTTCATATAATCATACCATAGATCTCCTACTTCATGTATTCACCCCATAGATCTCCTACTTCATACAATTACACCATAGATCTCCTACTTCATACAATCACACCATAGATCTCCTACTCCATGATATCACACTTGACACTTGAATCTCATTCAAGTTCATCACAAACAACTCAAACCTTAAGTTTGATTCTATCAACATTTAGAACAATCCTTAACTAGCATCACAATACTATTAAGATTATTCCTACAACTCATTTATTCTTAATGGTAGCCCCTCCATATCAATAGATATGTGGCAGCCTCCCATGTGCTAAGCATCATCATGCAATCATACATTTACATACACATAACATTCATACATGTGTTGGAAGGTCAATTTACCATTTTAGCATACTTTTATCTCACATGACTCCATATTCATCAATATGGTTTCAATTTATGATCAAGTCCATTACTTATCATTCATATCATGTTCAAGCATATTTATTCACAAAAACATGATTTAAGCATTTAGGTAATCTCATGCATAACCTACAAGTTGTAAGCAACTAGATGTCGGTCCTCACCTCAAATGAGCTTTAAAACATTCCTTCTCGATCCAATGACCAAAGCCTCGGCCAAGGAATATTGAGAGCTGGTTCCTTGCTTGAAAATGGGTGTTAAACAGCTTCCTCAAGTTGCTATTTCAACTCCTAATCGTTGATACGAAAACAGCCCCTAGAACGGGTGTTTTCCGGCTAACTCGATTCCTAGTTTTCCAATATTTGCTCTAGGTTAGTATCTAACCTTTACATCAATAAAATAACTTTTCAAGGACATATTATACACTTGGATTAGTGTACAATAGTCCCACCAATCGTTCATATCATTTGGAAAATGAATGGAAAGGATTTGGGGTCAACAACTCACTTTAGAAGAGTAAATCCGTTTCTGCGAGGTTGTGTTTTGCTCGGACGATTTGGAAGCCTTCCTCTACTCCGATTGATTCAAACCAGACCTTCACGGATTCCTCGTCTTGAGAGCTTTCTTTTGGTATCTCACACGCCTTAATTGGATTGGTAAAACTCGAGATATCAACCAAACAGTCTCAGCACCCTCACAGCTCGAGTTCACAGACCACCACTCACTCCAGCTCGATTTTTGTAAGATAATCTTTCTCTCCTCGAACAAAGACCACTCAATTGAGATACTAGACTTCAAAGGCTATCCAAGGACACCTTATACACCTCATTTGGACGAGTACAACTCTCAAAATGAAGGGAGACAAAACAGCACACCTGTTTGTGCGAAAACAGTGGTGGTGGCCCCAAAATTTGATTCCTATCAAGTCTTGTGCAGCTCCTCTCCATGGTGGTCGGCCAAGGTAAGTTTCCTAACCCATTTTTATTTGTCTTGCAGGTACTAATGTCATGTGGAGTGGTTCCCAATTGATCCCAATCATTTTGGGATCCAAATTATCTACCAATACTTCCAAAAATGAGGAAAATGGGTCCTATTGTTTTATCTTTGTCAAAAGATGTCTTTTTGTACTCATCCTAATTTATTTAGAACAAGTCAACTTCCTAAATCACATTATTGATCTCCAATATGTGTAGGCTCATCCCAATAGTTTACTTGATGGATATTATAGAAGGACGTTCGGGTGCGGTGTCACAGCTACTGCCGTCAAGCCGCGGCCCGGTTGGACGACGGGACATACCTCCAATCCCTACCTCCTTTGCAAGTCTTGGTCAAGGTATGGGTTTTGGTGCTTCTTCTATCACTACTATTGTGACCATTAAATTACTGGCTGTTGAAGATTATTTACCCTGGCGTACTCAGTTTGAATCCTTCCTGGTCTCTAATGGTCTTTTGGGTATACTTGATGGATCTCTTCCTGCCCCACCCATATACACGTATGATTTATATCAAAACCAAACCATGAATCCTGAGTATTATCATTGGTTGCGATTAGATCAGACTGTCCGTTCTTGGTTGTTTGCTACCCTCTCTCGTGATATTCTCGTTGAGGTGCATCAATTAAAGAATTCTGTAGCCATATGAGAACGTTTGGAGGCTCGTTTTATGGCTGCCAGTCTGGCTCGATCCATGGAATTAAAACAAATGCTGTCTCACATGAAAAAGAAAGAAAATCAGTCCATGGATCAATATTTGCTTGAAATTCGAAAAATGGCTGAGTCCCTGGCATCCATTAATTCTCCCGTGTCTGACCATGATCTCTTGCAATATGCACTTTTGGGGTTGGGTCCGGGATATGAGTCATTAGTGGGACCTCTAACTCTATTCCAGGAAGGTCTTACTTTTGATAAATTGTGCACCAAACTTGTCCATCAAGAAGCCCGTCTTCACTATCAACAACGTTAGAGACCAGTGTTGGAGCCCCGGCCTTTGCTGCACATGGCCAGCAGCCTGCCGGTCCAGGACAACAGCCGCAGCAGGTTCCGCAGCCCCAACAGCCGCAGCAGCGCGACGGACGTGGTCGCGGCAGAGGACCACGCGGACGGGGTGGCCGCGGACGAGGCCGTGGTGGTCAGTACTACCAGCAGCAGTTTCATGGTGCTGGACAACAGCAGCAGCAGCCGAACGGGGCCTACGGTCGAGCACCTCCACAGCCACAGATGATGGGTATACCGGGTACAGTCAATTGTAATTCTGTTAAGTCATTGTCTTATACTTCTGCACCATATATTTTTTGTACTAACTATGATTCTGCAGGAGCTTCACCTTTTGAGAATAATTTTGGTTCAGTTCCTCCTCCCATCTTCTGTCAAATCTGTCACTCACCAGGTCATTCTGCTGTCAATTGTTCATCCCGTTTTGTCCAACCTTCTGCACCTGCCTTGGCCGTCCCTACCGGAGAATCTTCTTCTACTGTTTGGTATCCTGACTTTGGCGCTTCCGCTCATATGACCCCTAACGAAGGTATTTTAGACAATAAATCTGTTTATTCTAAACCACTAACTGTGACGGTTGCTAATGGTTCTAATTTACCTGTTATGACTGTTGGTGAATTAGCTTTATCTCCTACGCCGCGTCCCCTTCATTTAAAATATGTTTTTCATGTTCCTCACCTTAAATATAATCTATTATCCATTCAAAGATTATGTGCCGATAATAACTGTTTTGTGATTTTTGATAAGAATTCTGTTTGTGTTAAGGACCACAATTCGGGGAAAGTGCTTCTTAAAGCTTCTAACAAAGGTGGCGTTTATCCTATTTCCTTGCCTCATCCTTCATCAGTTGCTTTAGCTACTCATGTTGCTCCGGGACCTGTCTGGCATCGACGGTTGGGACACTGTGGCAGTCGTATTTTAGATAAACTTAAGAAGTCTGGTTCTATTCTTAGTAATTCTAATTTTTCTCATGATTGTATTTCTTGTCGGTTAGGAAAATCTCAACGGTTACCTTTTCAAGAAGTTTGGCATAAATCTACTGCCCCTTTATTTTTGGCTCATTCTGATGTCCTGCAATCTCCTGTTCTTTCTGACAGTGGTTTTAAATATTATGTTTTATTTATTGATGATTTTTCTCGTTTTACTTGGCTATATCCTATGCGCAATAAAAGTGAAGTTCTGAAACATTTTATTAATTTTAAAACAATGGCTGAAAATCTTCTCAACTCTAAAATTAAAATTTTTCAAAGTGATGGAGGGGGTGAGTTTGATAATCATGGTATGCGAAATCTTTTTCTTCAGCATGGCATTTTATTTAGAAAATCTTGTCCTGACACTCCTGAACAGAATGGGGTGGCTGAAAGAAAACACCGTCATCTTCTCGAATTAACTCGCACTATGCTTTTTGAGACAAAAATGCCAGCTAAATTCTGGGTAGATGCGGTATTTACTTCTACCTATATTATCAATCGTCTCCCTACTCCCAATTTAAATGGTTTATCTCCCTTTGAAAAATTATTTCATCACTCACCAGATTTTTCTTTTATGCGCATTTTTGGGTGTGCCTGTTTTCCAAACTTTAATGCCACTTCAACAAATAAACTTTCCCCTAGATCAGTATTGTGTGTTTTTCTGGGATATGCTCCTGAGTATAAAGGATACCGTTGTTATGATCCGCTTACCGGCAAAATTTACATCAATAAGAATGTTAGATTTCATGAAAATTATTTTCCATATTCTGAGTTGATTTCTTCTAAATCCAAAAACACTACTTCCGTGTCCCCTGCACAACCGCATGCCTACATACCATTGGTGCCACCATCCCGGATGCCTTCCCATCATAATATCTCGACCAGCTCATCCTCTCTCAGTCCCGAAAACCTGCACAATGCCCACATCCACACCGCCACCTTACCTCGACCACCATCTCCCATGCCGTCTGGCAGTTCTGCTACCCCGCAACCATCTTCCTCCCAGCACACAGCCAGTCCACCCGAGACTCCACCACCCACTCCCCTCCAGCCCGACAGTCCCTCGGACCACCAGCCCACTCCTAATATACCCAGCAGCCCTCAACCGCCACCTTCTCCCCCGAAACAGCCCGGTCACCCGATGCAAACACGAGCTAAATCAGGAATTTTTAAACCAAAAAGTATTTTTACTCTTAAAACATATATTATGGCATGTGATCCGTCTTGTTTTTCTGTTGCTAGTAAAGATGCTAAATGGAGGGCGGCTATGGCTGAGGAGTTTAATGCTTTAATTGACAATCATACATGGGATTTGGTTCCGTTTAATCATCATAAAAATGTGGGGGTGGGTCTAAATGGATTTATAAAACAAAATTTAATTCTGATGGGTCTGTTGAGCGACATAAAGCACGTCTAGTAGCTCAAGGATTTACTCAACAGGGTGGAATTGATTTCTCTGAAACTTTTAGTCCTGTGGTCAAACCTACTACTGTTCGTATTGTTTTATCTCTGGCTGTTTCGGTTGGTTGGTCTATACGTCAGTTAGATGTTAAAAATGCGTTTCTTCATGGTAATTTGACAGAGGAAGTTTATATGCGTCAGCCGCCTGGTTTTATTCATCCTCAATTTCCTAATCATGTGTGTCGTTTGAGAAAGGCCATTTATGGTCTCAAACAGGCCCCTCGGGCATGGTTCTACAGATTTAGCAGTTTTCTTCTCACCCATGGCTTTATCTGTAGCAGGTCTGATAATTCTTTGTTCATTTATCGCCACGGTTCGTCCATTCTTTATCTACTTCTTTATGTGGATGATATTATTATCACTGGTAATTCCCCTTCCTTTATCTCCTCTTTTATTACGTGTCTTGGACGTTACTTTGCTATGAAGGATTTAGGGGATTTACATTTTTTCCTGGGTGTCCAAGCTACTCGTGTTCCTAAAGGATTATTTTTGTCGCAGCACAAATATGTGTCCGATCTGTTGACTAGGTTTCATCTTCATACTCTTAAACCTGTTCGCACCCCTCTCCCTTCTAGAACTAAGTTATCTCTCATTGATGGTGAACTTCTTACAGATCCTAAGGAGTACAGAAGTATGGTCGGTGCTTTACAGTATTTGACCATGACTCGACCTGATATTACTTTTGCTGTTCACCTGGTTTCCCAATTTATGCATGCCCCTCGTACTTCACATATTTTGGCTGTTAAGCGCATTTTCAGGTACTTACAAGGTACTCCAGATCACGGCCTATTGCTTCAGCCAGATCGGTCGTCTCCTACTATTCAAGCTTATTCTGATGCTGATTGGGCCGGGTGTCCTGATAGTAGCCGGTCCACGTCTGGTTTTGCTATTTTCTTGGGTCCTAATTTGATCTCTTGGAAGTCAAAGAAACAGCCCACGGTTTCCCGGTCATCTACTGAAGCCGAATACAGGGCCATTGCTTACACAGTTCAGGATACATTACACATCAGGTCCATTTTGTTCGAGTTAGGCATTCCTATTCGCACGCCTGTCCGATTGCTATGTGATAATGTCTCAGCTTCATATTTATCCACTAATCCTATTCAGCATGCACGCAGCAAACACATCAGCATTGATTATCATTTTGTCCGAGAGCGTGTCTCACATGGAGATTTAATTGTTCGTCATGTACCTACGCAGTATCAGCTTGCAGATATCTTCACCAAGTGTTGTCTCCGCAACAATTTATTTTTCTTAGAGACAATCTGCGCATTGTTTCCATGCACAGATTAAGGGGGTGTAATAGTGTATTATTAATTAGCATTAATTAGCTTTCCATATTTCATTAGTTTCCTATTGTAATTTGGATACTTTTTATTATATATATGACATCCAGGGCTACCACATTGGTAAGTCATTCTATTATTCTCGCAGATGAAAGGTACAACTCAAGCATCGAAGTGGACGTGGAGAAGGGGGCGGTGACGGCGGATGCGGGGGTGGGGTTGAGGGCAGTAATCGAGAGGGTGGAAGAGGAGGGGCTGAGCCTGGTGGCGTCGCCGTATTGGGAGGGCGTGAGCGTGGGCGGGGCGATAAGCACAGGGGCTCACGGCAGCTCATGGTGGGGGAAGGGCGGAGCACTTCACGACCACGTGATTGGGATGAGCCTTGCATGTGGTCACCGCTGAGGGGTATGCAAAAGGTTGAAGGCGGACGACCCTCTCCTCAACGCTGCCAAACTCTCCTTAGGATTGCTTGGCGTTATTTCCAAGGTCAGCTCCCCGGCGTTTTCACTTTCCTTTATCAAATACCGAGTACTCCGTATGGTAAAAACGTTTGATGACACCCCTCATAAAAAATCAATGACATATATATATAATCAAGATCAAATGACAATTATATTTTGGGAGATATTCGATATTCATTTGGGAGATATATATTAGAACAAGATGGTGTCATTGTAATTAGTGATTACTCTAAAAAATCGATGTGTATGGTGTTTGTATGCATGTGTGTGTTTCATTGTATTAATATTGGAAATAATCAATAGTCACACCCATTCTTATTTTGTCTTTTTTGAACAACATAATTTTTTTTGGCTCCCAATAAGCAAACCACCTAAGTTGTGAGGCAAACGTCGGGGAACCGTTTATCAGAATTTTATTAAGAATAAAAAAGGATAAGTACAAAAGAGAGGGGGATCAAATCAAAACACTTTCTTATTTTGTCATAAAGGATATTACTATAATGATACCCTTAAGTATTATTTCAATCAAATAATACACACACATATATATAAGGGATCAAATATAAACATCTCCTAATTTACAAACTATAAACTCATGTTGGTCATGCGATAAGTTGATCCAAGACTATAAATGTATGATGGCATTTTGGTAATAATACCAAACTTTTTTCGGATGAAGGGATTTGAACATTAATATACAAATGTTTATTTCATTGCGGAATAAAATGAAATACTTTGAATATTAATATGCAATACAAATAGCGTAAACTTGCATCATGCAAATATTTACACGTACAGTTCAACAAACACATCCTAATTTATAATACTCCGTACATACATATTGGCAACGATGTTCCATTCTAATGTTTTATACACATGCTACCTGCCTCTCTTAGTCCACTATTGCTCACCAATGTGCTCCCAGCTGCGATCCCGAGGCCTAAAACTTGCTCCTTCAAGATGAAACACGTCCACTTGAAACTTTATTGTCTCACACAAACACTACTAGATTTCCCTCCTTTCCCTACAAATTATTTGCACACAAAATTATTTTTGTTGTTAAAGATTTTCTTTGCCTACAAAATAAGTGATCTGTATGTGCTTATCTTTCCACACCAATTTTCTTCTCCATACAAGAAATATGTGTGGGGTAAGGTCTTATATCCCTACGAAACAATATTTCTTAGGCAAAGATGGTTTTCCTCTTCACGAACAAAGTTTGTTTTGCTGTATGTAGGTGTATCTTTATTAACTACGGTCTACGGAGTATAATAGGTGAATTTTTAAGTTAAAGATATATCATGAAAGATATGCCTAAAATTTTCAAACAAGATACTTTGCATTACCTATACTTTAAGAAAAAAATCGACGATACTCTGTCAAATACGAAGTGTATGAGGCCAGACCAATTTCAATTTCGATTTTTACATTTAACCCAAGTTTCTCAAGTAAAATGGGAATTACAACTAAATTACAGAGACTTATTTAATCTAGAAATGATTGCCTAAAAACTACGGAGTAAGAAATAGTTTTTTTTTTAAAGGAAGAAATAGTTAAATACTACGTATTACGGAAATGCAATTTAAAAAAACGTTAAATATTACGGATATACGGAGTATATAAATAAATTAAAATTAATAAATAAATATAAATTTATAAAGATAAGGAAGTAGTCACCAAAAAACAAAAATGCTCCCTACGTAATAACCATTAACCAAGCGGCTAGGCTATTTCTCCGGCACTATCACGAACGTCCGGCGCTAATCAAAACTTCAATTTGGCTCCCAACCTAAAATTTTCCCTCCTTTTTTTGACCTAAATAATCCGAGTATGGCCAGAATCAATAACCAATTTGCGATATCTTTTACTCCTGCCGCCTTTCCTGTTCGCACGATCTGCTGATTTTTGTTCCCGTTCCTCAATCTCCAGATTGGTTTACGCCAGGTATCTACGCTCCTTGAGCTCCTTGATTTATAGGTCAAGTTGAATTGGTAACATAGTACTAATTTAAGGTATGAACTAGAGAATTTAGAATAATAGAAAGGTAATTCCAAAGGGGAAGGAAAAACGAGCAGAAATTAAAGGAAAAATAGAAGGGGGTCAAAGAACTAGGGAGGGGAAGGGATACGATAAGAAGAAAAGGAAACGAGCTAAAAGGGGGTAAAGGAAGAAAAAATAATGTAAAGAATAATACCGTAGTAATAGATTTTTGTTAATTATAGATCATCTGCTTAATTGTTTAATCTCTAATTTCTTTATTTCACTTAAAATTTTGTCAGTAGAGGATGAATGAACTACAAAAAGAAGGAACCACAGAAAGAAGGAACTAGCTATAGGATAGGGGTGAAGAAGAATAAAAAACCATGAAGTGGTTCATTTATACAATTATACCCAGTTTAATTTTTCGAGGCAATTGGCTTCATAGTTCACCAGTTTTTTATTGCAAAAAATACAAAAAATAACTACTGTAGCCATAAATTTAAAGAATCATAGGGTGAAGATCAGATTATGTCTTGATTTACAAATAAATGGTTATGATAATAAATGTTCTTATAAGAATACAAGGTTAAATTACTCTGTTGGTTATGTCTTTCTTAATTCTGTTTTTTATATGATGTTGTCTTATTTGAAAACTTTACATACTCTTATTGTACATATGTTGATTTATGAACAAACCGTATATGCTTATATTTATTGTATAGAAGTGTATAGTAGCATGTATTATTCATTTAGGTGTTTAGGAAGTGTCAAACTGAAACCTTACGTTTAGACATTGATTTATCAGGCTATTACTGTGTGCACAAAAAACCCTTTCAATTGACATATGTATTTAGGTAATTTTAGTTGATAGTGCATTTGATTTTATATTCTAAGTTTCTAACACACATATATGTCTTTTCATGTTTCCATCAAATAGTTCAAGGATTATCTCTTCTTGGTAGAGCTGCCTTCCATCCAAATTGCTTCAAGGTAGTTGTTATCTTCTAACTCTAATACGGAGTAATACTTTAGTTTACTTTATTATTATTATTTTTAAAGTTTCATTTTGAGCTTGACTAGCATACATTTGATTGAAAATTCAGTTCTAATACATTTTAAAGTTCTATTATTTCAAGTCCAGCAAACACTTGAGAATGCACTTGAAAACCCCCCTACAGAGATGCAAGATAGAAGTGCAGATGAGTGGATTAAACTATGTGATCATTTTAGTTCCGAAAAATTCCTGGTATATTATCTTCTATTTGCCTAATTTTTATAGTTTGTGATTACATGAGATGTTCATGCTCTAATTAAATTCTATCTTGTACAGAAATCCTCCACGGCAAACACAAGCAACCGATCTAAGAAAAAACACAACCACCGCACTGGTTCTCGTCCCATTGCATACATTGTAGAGGAAATGACAGCGGTAATTATTACTACCTCCGTCCCACTAAGATTGGGACGAGAGAAGGTGACACGATTATTAAGAAAAGTAGGTTTGCGTGGTTGATATTAAATTGATAAAGTAAAAATAAAGTTAGAATGATTTAAAGCCACACAATCTTTACCAAATATGGTATGGGACAATCTTAGTGGGACTTCCCGAAAAGATAAAATGAGACAATCTTAGCGGGACGGAGGGAGTATATTGTACAAATAGTTATTGACTTGCAGAAATATTGGGTTTTCCATATATATGCAGTAATTGAGACATTTCTCATTCTTTAAGGACGGTTCGAAATTTCCTGAAGTTGACCCATTTGAATATACCTATTCTGGAAAAGACAAGACTTGGACGAGTGATGAAGCTAATGCTCAACATGTAAGATACTATGTTTCAACTTGTATACTTGGAGAGCATGCGAGAATATGCAATTGTTTGAAATTGAAATAATGTAACAAATGTTAGATAATATGTTTTATAACTACTTGTTTGTTACTGTGCAAGCTTGTTTTTATCTCATGGTGTGTGTTCTATTAATAGTCACATCTTTTCAGAACTTGTTTACCACAATATGTTTTCTTATTTGTTAAAAGTTGTGGTATACACAAGTATTCTTGGGCATGATTCATCTGTTGTGACTTTTGAACTTCATTTTATATAATATTCATTGAGTTATGCGGAAAGTAGTGGAATTTATACACTTTGACAATCTATAATGGATCTTCATTTTTTTTATTTCAGTTGTGAATAGTGCAATTTTAATTTCTGTGACTAACCAGATATGTATATATGAGAATGATGATTTATTGTAATAGGAACTAGTATTTTCGGCAAAAAAGACATTTATCATAATGTGCTGGTATTAATTAACATTGTGTAAATCTTTTCTAGGATGAAATGCTAGCAAAAACAGATGAATATCTCTTGGATGTGATAAGAGAGCAACAGCTTCCTGAGGATACTCCCTTAGAAGAGGTGCCTGTTGATAATCCTGACGCTGGACTTAACATTATGGTATCTTTTTTAGGTAAAAAGCCTGGGCGGCGAATTCGTGGATTAGGAGATGGACGTCTTCGAGATACCAATCTAAAACAAAAGCGTATGGAGGATGAGTTAGCAGCCGAGCGTTCTGCAAGAAAAGCTGCAGAAAATGCCCGATTGGAAACCGAGAAAAGGTTACAAAAAAAGTTGAAGGCTATGGGACAACAGTTTAACTCAACATTGGAGGCTTGGCACACTTCACTACAAAAGTCGTATAGTAACGTTCCTGGTTTTGTTCTACCACCATTTACGTCATTATCAGTTGACGTGGATGAGACTGAAGATGAATCATATAATCTTGATTAAGATACTCATGGCAAGGAGTGACTGTTTTATGTTATGTTAACGTTTTATTCTAAACTAAAACAATACTTTTTAAGATGCTGCTTTTGTGCTTCGTTATGTATAAACGAAGATAACAATCATCTGATGTTTTTGTGGATTTGGTACTTCATACACATATGTTTATTTCATTGATATTCAACTGGAGTATTTTATAAGTATTATGTGTTGTGTATATAGAGGTAGAGCTTAATAATTAATTTGGTTTTAATTTTTTTAGGATTACCAATGGGTACGGTTTTGTGGTTGTAGGAATATGATTTCAATGCAATTTAATTTTTGTATGTAAAAGTATAAGGCTACAAATTTACATACCTACAATAATTTTGTAACTTGTATTCTTGAATTTTTCCATACAAGAAACTTTGCTGGTGTAAATACTTTTTTTCCATGAATATATTTGTTACAAAAGAGTTAAGCCAATGACTTTTGTTTGTGTGCTAAAGATTTGTCTTCCTATATCTTTGCATAGAAAGTTCTAATATTTGTGTCCTTAAACCTTTCCCCACAAGGTTTGCGTCACAAATCAGACCACGAAAGAAAATTGTAGGGAAAGAACTTGGCATACAAAAAATGATCTTTCCATACAAATATAATTTATAGGGAAAGTGTAATTTTCTTGTAGTGAAAGTAATTATTCAATTCCCCTCCTACAATGCATTTGACATTATCCTCTCTACAATTTGAGATGAATGGACTACATCCATCACAATGCATATATTAACGTAATACCTTTGGAAAGTTTAAAACGATTAATACTCCTACTAATATCAATAAGGTGCATCTTATTTAATTTAAGAGAACTTATTTGCTAAGAAAATGCACATTCAAGTGTGATATTATGGGAATAGTTATGAGTGACCGCTTGGGAAGCTAAGTTTTTTAGAGTGCTGAGTGCGGGAGAATAAAGTGATGACAAAGTGTCACACCCTACAAAATGATATATTTAGTGCGGGAGAATAAAGTGAGGACAAAGTGTCACACCCTACAAAATGATATATGAGTTTATTGTTGAAAAATTCAGTCTCAAATAAGATCTAATCTCACTAAGCATGATAAAATTCATAGAATCAAGTAATAAGAACACTAACCTTGCAATGAGGAGAAACTGAACGTTGATGATGGCGTAGAAGATTATTATGAAACCATGACATTTAGATTCTCTAAGGATAGAAGCGGATTTCGATGGCTTGAACGATCTCTCTTGAGTCTCTTAATATAGGTGTTCTTGAGACCTTTGGGAAGAAACACGTTCTTATGTTTTTTTGGTAGTAAGAACGAAACGAACGTGTGTTTTTATCTTGTATCAAAGAGAAACTCATTTGGTCCCTTATGTATTATTTAATGTTAAAACATATCCATCATATGTTAACTATACATTAATACAGGGACCAAATGCAAATCTGTCATATGACAAATTTAATGGTAAGACATAAATGTCTCCAATATGTATTAAAATAAATGGTCCAATGGCATTTAAATGGAATATTTTCCAACATTTATATGGATGTTGCAGCTCATGATGGAGGACTAATTTAATGACTACGTACGACCCCAAGGTTTCTTTGATTTAGAGTCTTTTGTGTAAGAGACTGGAACATGATGTGTAAGAGACTAGTATGTTAAATATGATATAGAGTATATTAGTGAAATATGTTAAAAATGGGTTGCTTAGGCCCGTTTTAAGATTCAATGTGATTGTACGATTGTGAATTAAAGCTTCACCCTACCCGATTTTTGTTTAGAATTAGCACCCAACGTAGGCTAAACTGCCCCGGGCATCAGCTCTTGTAGCCGTTATGTTTGTCCATCCCTGTAAGCCACATGAATAGCAAACTGACAAGGTACTATACATACAACGTGAGATCGAGAGAAAGAGAGGAAAAAATAAATACATGCCCGAAAGAACGCCGCAGAAACCTAGCTGATAATTGGAAACGATAGATGATTCAAGCTAAGAATAGATAAATAAAATCGTCTATATGTGGTTTTCCAAGAGTTAGCATGAGAAACCATGCATTTGTTTCGATTAAAAACATACAATCAGAAATTACACGAATATCATACATTTTAGTAATATTAGTGATAATTATCTCTTATATCTCTAAATTAAATAAAACAAACCAGTAGCATATACTATCTGATATTGACCTTCTAGGATGGAACTATATATATACTCCCTCAGGTCCCAAAAGAACTTCATTGTTTGACTTCACGGTTTTTAAGAAAGTGGAATTTTTTGTTTTGACTTTCTCGTTATGTCCCCCAAAAAAGTAGATAAAGTGCAGTGAGAGAGAGAAAGCGGGTGTAAAGTAGATAATAAAGTAAAGATATAAGGGCAGGGACGGACCTACCCTTTGGGGTGGGGGGTCATGGCCCCTCCCAACTTTCCAATTTTTTTTTAGTATTTATTTGTTAATTTTTTGTAGGAGTAATTGAATGTTAATATATTTATTAATAGATTCTCTTTTGAAGTGAAACATAGTACTAATTATGATTGATAAATATATAATCTTAAATTTATCATTTTATAAATTCTAAAAACTGTTCAATTTATTAGACTTTTTTAAGCTTGAAAAATGTTGGGGGGAAATCGTAGGAAACTATGAGTAAATGTGATACATAAATTTGATCAAATATGATGAATTAACTTTGACGTGAGATGAATTTGATCTTATAGTTCTATTTGTATAGTTAAAGAGTAATATAATTATGTATGAAAACAAATTTAATAGTATCATACACTACAAAAAATTTGTTGATTAGTAACCAAGTTTGTCACTCATAATAAAATAAATTGAGTGACAAAATAGATTACTAAACGTGTGTGGGTGCCTTATTGCTGGTGCCAAATACATTGGCACCACATTTAGAGAGTGACTAATTTACTCACTCCCCCAACAAGTGAGAAAATAGGTGAGAAGTTTGTGAAGACGTGCCAATGATGTAGTGCCACGATCACATCTTTTGTCACTATGTATGAGAGTGAATAATTTAATTTGGGTTTTAATTTGGGTGTCATTTTATTTTATAATAATTTAAAACTAGTAAATTCAAGTATCTATTGGTCAATACAATACAAAATTTAAATTTCAAAATTAGAAATTAAGTACTCACAACATATAACTTCAATTAATACAGAGCGAATTTAAATCTATTACGTAGTGGAGTACTATAAAATTAAATAGTTAACATTTGAAATAGAGTAACTCAAAGGCACAAATACTGCACAAAAGTGATAGATTCATAATACAAAGTGATACAAAGATTGTGATACACAGTGATAATTCAGACGGAAAAAATTGACATGCTGACCAATTCATTTGCTAATTAACATTGTGATCTTCTTCTTCTTCAATGGCCGCTCGGAGCCTCAAACAACAGTTTGAATTGCACATCTACTAACTTTTGAATGAACTTGTAAGAATAGATTTGATAATTTCCGGTAGCTGATGTTGTGTTCAGATCGACTGCATGTACACGATTCGTATGATAGGAATGAGTGCACATATTTAATTTAGAATGAAGTGGAGGATCGAGCATCAACTCCGTCTTCGATCATAGATACGGTTGTTCTTGACTTTACAAAAGTGATTCCTCAATTCACAAGTAACTTGATATTTCTGAAACATTGAAACAAGAGGTGAAATCTCCTAATGTTTAATATATAAACAAAAAGTACAATGTAGAAGAAACATTTTATAGTTATAATTATTCTCGTAAATTCAATTAAAGTATACTTTCTATGGAATTGCATTGTCATATCTTCCATGCTTTTGGCTCTAACTCACCCTAGAAGCAATGGTGTGCCTCAATCTCCGGAGTAAGATGAATCAAAGTTGCTAAAAATGTACTACGTAATTAAGAATAATGAGGGGAGCAAGGCAATATCAAGCTAAGCACCATATCAAGTGCATGGAATTGAATTTGCATTAATTATGCCGCATGCTCGAAAGAAGAAAATGATAGACGATGACTACAGGGCATGGTTTACAAATTTATCATAACTTGATAGTGTTTTGAACTTGGCCTGCGTGGGTAAGTGGAGCTGTGGAGGTAGTTTTGGAAACAAGAGAATAAAAGGAGGAAGTTATAAAAAAAATTAAAAGAATTGAAGCAACACGAAATTAAAGGAAACACGCAGTACGTTATTCGACGGATGCGGTAATATGGGTTCAGTTTTTTCGGCCCTTTGTCACCAAGTATTTAAAGTGATAAAAGTGGTGAGAAATGCTTTGTATTTACTCACTGGTTCTATAGGTGAGAAAGGTGGTGAAAGTACTCACATAAGTTACAAGTGACTAACTTAAGTGCCTAAATGAACGATTTTTTGTAGTGTCAATTATATATATTAAATTAGCTTTGAAATTTGTGTTGCAAAACCAAACAGAAAAATCATATCCTAGAAATTAATTTTCTTTCCCTAAACATAATCCACACATGTAGTAAGAGATTGATCTTGAGAAATTAAACATCTACTATAATATGGAGTATATCTTAAGATATTGATACATTTTTTTGTTTTACTTCTCCTACAAGATATCAAATATTTCAAATTAATCATCAATTTTAGTAAAATATGTTTAAGAAGTTGTCAAAAACAGAATTGTGAAGTTTATTTTCGACCTATCCAAAAAGAAAAGTGTGGAGTTGTTTTAGGACGGGGATATAAGATTGTAATTAAGTTATCATCAACTTAATTAATAATAAAGTTTTTATAATTAATAGACGTACAGAGCCCAAAGCCAAATCATTATGTGGTGAAATTAAACTTGAAGCCGTACGTAGGTAATTATGATAATGTGGAAGTGCATGTTTATGATAAAATTATTGAGTGCAGGTAACATTGTCACTGCTAGAGCCGGCATTCAAACGAAGTATAACATACAATTTCACGGAGGACAGCGGGGTTACATGATGCATGCAAAGAGGCACGAATTTGCAGAGACCTTCGATCAATATAATGGTACACTGCTGTTTATAGATACGATGATAGCTAGGGTTCCCCTACACATGCACTCCCGGAGACGTACGGTGTCTATGCA